CCACCCCCCTTTTTTTGAGACAAGGTCTTGCTGTGTCACCCAGAGTGGAGTGCATGGCTCACTGCAGCCTCGACCTCCTGGGCTCAAGCAGTCCTCCCACTTCAGCCTCCCAAGTAGTCAGGACCACAGGTGCATGCCACCATGCCTGGCTAATTGTTTAATTTTTTTGTAGAGATGGGGTCGCACTGTGTTGCCCAGGTGGGTCTCAAACTCCTAGGCTCAAGCCATCTCCCTACCTTGGCCTCTCAAAGTGCTAGGATTACAGGCATGAGCCACTACACCCTGCTGATTACCTTTTTAGTAAATCTACTAGATCTATGACCTTATTTGTTAATAATTAGAGTAGCACCATGTTTTTAAGTGATTAGAACTCTTGAAAATGAATATCCACATTAAATTCCATTATAGCAAAGAACTAATTTAGAAAATGTTCATAATGAGTTTTGATGGCGATTTGTTTTGAGTAATGTTGGAAGGCTCTTGGAGTGCATGTGAAGGGATGAATCTTTTGAAAAAAGAAAGGTGGTAGACATTTTCTGAGACATAAAATAATCCAGATTTATTCCACCAGACAGTTTTACAGTGTTTAGTATTTTAGGAGCTAACTGCCTTCAGATTCACTGGACTATTCTGTCCTTTTGCCATGTACTGACCTGGGCAACACCAGTGACTACAAATGCCATGCTGACCAGTTGGAAGAGTCTTTGCTTATCGGAGCTGTTCTAAAAGGCTTATTAGTTTTTGGTCTTCATTCTATTTAATGTTTTCATGCCTTTATACACTTTTTACTTCCAGCCCAATTTTTCCCATTGTCTTGGTACAGGTCAGCTCTGTCCACATTTGTTAGGGTTTCAGCTAGCCAAAAATGGTCTTTTCATTTGCTGAAATTCTAAACAAAATAATTAAAGTTAAAGCTCAGATGATGATGCTACCTTATTTTTCTACACGTGGGAAAGCTTGACTGACAATAATGATTAGCGCCTGCATCTCACAATCACTGAGAAATGAAGGCAGCACTGACCTCTGTTTACCCTCTGAGCTTGCCCCCAGAAAATAATATAGACCCTAAATGGTAAGTTATAATATTTTTATTAGGGAACATTATTAGAGGTTTTTTTTATATATCTAGTAACCATGTCATATTAAGTAATCTTTTTTCTTTTTCTTTTTTTCTTTTCCTTTCTTTTCTTTTCTTTTTTTTCTCCACTCTGTCACCCAAGCTGGAGTGCAGTGGCATGACCGTGGCTCACTGCAGCCTTGACTTCCCAAACTCAAGCAATCCTCCCACTCCAGCCTCCCAAGTGACTGGGACTACAGGCACGTGCCACCATGCACAGCTAATTTTTCTATTTTTTGTAGGGGCAGGGTCTCACCATGTTGCCCGGGCTGATCTTGACCTCTTGGACTCAAGCAGTCTTCCCTCCTCTGCCTCCCAAAGTTCTGAGATATAGGCATGAGCCACCACACCCAGCCTAAATAATCTTTAATGTTTGAAGTCTGTCAGGCCATTATGGTGTTCAGTAGAGGACTTCTTAGTATTCTGAATATAGGACTTCTAACTTTATCTTTAGTTTTACCTAAGATTATTCTACACCTAACTTGAAACTTTTGGAGTACTAAAAGTTCAAGAAAGTTAAGAGAAAAGCAAAACTGATAAACTGACCAGTTTGTGTCCTGCTAAAGCATAGATAGTTTTACCGTGCTCTTCCCAGTGATGTGAATATTCTTTGGTTAGCATTCAATTTGGTTGCTTTCTTTTTAGTTTAATCAAGCACCATCACCACTATATCACTGTCATCATCATTTTACTTATTGATTTTGCTTATTGTCTGCCTTCCCCTCTGTGTTGTAAGCTCCATAAAGGCAAGAAATTTTTTCTGTTTTATTCACTGCTTTAAGCCCAGTTTCTAAAACAATGTCTGGCACGTGGTAGGCACTCAGTAAATACCTCTTGAATTATTGCTAATTCATTTTGTAGACTTCCATCTGTAAGATGACAGATCTGAATCATCTGAAATCTCCATCTCCATAAGCTGGCTGGGCGCAGTGGGTCATGCCTGTAATCCTAGTACTTTGGGAGGCTGAGGCGAGCGGACTGCTTGAGCTCAGGTGTTCGAGACCAGCCTGGGCAGTGTGGTAAAACCACATCTCTACTAAAAATACAAAAAATTAGCCAGGTGTGGTGGTGCACGCCTGTAATCCCAGCTACTCGGGAGGCTGAGGCAGGAAAATTGCTTGAATCTGAGAGGTGGAGGTTGCAGTGAGCTGAGATTACACCATTGCACTCCAGCCTGGGCGACAGAACTAGACTCTGTCTTAAAAAAGCACACAAAAAACACATAAAAAAACATATAAGCTGAACCTTCCCTGTGGGGTGGAGTCAGTTTGACTTACCTCAGAGTTGTTTGAAGAGAGAGGTTTCCAAACAGTTTTACAATAACCGTAGTTCACTGAATGCTTTCTGGTAGAAACACTGACTAGTAGCTTCAGTAACAATGCATGGCTCAGATTGTGCAATATTTCTGATTTAAATGTAATCTGTAGTACTTTGCACTTCAGATGTTTGAACCTTTTAACTTACAGTGCTGGGCTTCATTTCTGTTATGCCCTAATCTAGTCATGCTGAATATCCATACTATGTAATGGCAGATGCAAACCATGTTTTACTAAATTAGAACTACATATGAGTTATAGTTTACTTCAAGTGTTTTGTTTTGGTAATATAGCTTTGCCACCAAGCTTTAACTGTTTTCCTTAATGTACAAAGACTTTTTATTCTAATAACCAGGTTTCAGTTATACTATTTCTAAAGCTCAGCTCTTATTACATCAAATTTCAGTGATGTGTTGAAGTAGGGGAACTTTATATGGCGTTTCAAAACATTTTTATAATAGTGGAATTTTATTTATTGTAAAATATTTTTGTCTTTAATAAAATAATTTTGAATGATGTCATAATTTTGCTTTTATCTGGTATTCGGATGTTTACATGAAAAAGAGAATATAGACTGAATAAAGATAATCCTAAAAGAACTTCTCTGTCACATTTTCCCAGTTATTCATGCTCAAGGCATTGCTGTCCTGAGCCTACTTAGGTCTCAGCTGACCAAGCTGAATCTTTGATTCACTTATTTGGGGCTATTTATTTAAGACCCACTTTGTTCCAGCTCCAAAGATACAACAATATGCAAGAAAGACAGCGCCCAGGGCTGGGCTTGGTGGCTAATGCCTATAATCCCAGCGCTTTGGGAGGCCAAGGTGGGCAGGTTGCTTGAACCCAGTAGTTTGAGACCAACCTGGCAATGTAGCGAGGCACCATGTCTGTAGAAAGTTTAAAAATTAGCCAGGTGTGGTGGCATGTGCCTGTGGTCCCAGCTACTTGGGAGGCTGAGGTGGGAGGATAGCTTGAGGCCAGGAGGTCAAGGCTGCAATGAGCCACAGTTGCACCACTTGCACTCTGGCCTGGAGGACAGAGGAAGACCCTGTCTCAAATACAAACAAATAAGTGAAGTAAGAAAGCACCAGCCCTTGGGATATTTGTTTTGATCCTTTTCCCCAGTAAAAACTTGTTAGAGTAGGAAGTTAGAAAACAGCGTGGTAGATTGATGGCTTATTAACTGCTAAGACAACATATTAATTTGAGAAGGATATTTTCTATTTTAAAAGTAATTCTGGAGTTAACTCTTTTTTTGGAGACGGAGTTTCACTTTTGTTACTCAGGCTGGGGTGCAATGGCACGACCTCAGCTCACTGCAGTGTCCGCCTCCCAGGTTCAGAGTATTCTCCTGCCTCAGCCTCCTGAGTAGGTGGGATTACAGGTGCCTGCCACTACGCCTGGCTAATTTTTTTATATTTTTAGTAGAGACGAGGTTTCACCATTTTGGTCAGGCTGGTCTCGAACTCCTGACCTCAGGTGAGCCGCTGCACCCGGCCCAGTTAACTCTGTCTTAACCAAAGAAATCAATTTGCACAGTACAATATTGATTTCAATGACAAGTTAGTACAAGAGATTTTGGAGGGGCCATGCGTGGCAGCTCACGCCTGTAATCCCAGCACTTAGGGAGGCCAAGGTGGGTAGATCACTTGAGGTTGGGAGTTCAAAACCAGCCTGGCCAACATGGTGAAACACCGTCTCTTCTAAAAATACAAAAATTAGCCAGGCTTGATGGTACTTGCCTGTAATCCCAGCTACTTGAGAGACTGAGGCAGGAGAATCACTTGAACCTGGGAGGTGGAGGTTGCAGTGAGCTGAGATTATGCGATTACACTCCAGCCTGGGCGACAAGAAAAAGACTCTGTATTTAAATTTAAAAAAAAAAAGATTTTGGAGGGGGTCCACCTTTTTCAGTACGCTTTAGTTTAGAACATCCCAGCTATTTATTTGTACATGGGACAGATTCTTCCTGTGGATAGAATAGAATAATTCTGGTCTCATTTTCAAGTTCAGGGAGGGTCTACTGCATCTCCTAAAAATCAAAAACAAGTCTGGCCACTTGTTTTTTTCCTTCTCAGATTGTGAGACTATAATAGTGGATTTATAGAGGCAGTCTGTGCTCTGAATTGTTCAGCTTACAGATTGAAGTCTATCAACTCTTTATAGTATCAGGTTATTTATTTTGTATCAATTATTTGCTTTTGTTGATTAGCTCTACCAAAATAATAAAAAACCTCCCAAGATTTCTCAATCTTTCCGCCCTTCTTTATGCTTTCTCTTTACAATGGAAAAGTAGTCCAAAAAGTATTTGTTAGGAAATTTTTTTGTTATTTGCAGTTCGTGGCATGATATGGCTTTTCTGTTTCACTGTTGGCAGCTTTATGCATGTCCTGTAGGATAACTTGATCATTTTGTTACATATTTATGTGTGTATATATACATCCTGTGTGTGTGTATATATATATATTTATGTAATTTAAAAAATAAAAAGCATGCTGCTTGGCTTGGCTAGCTACTGTGTAATTGTACCTGGTAAACAATTATTTTCTTTGAAATTCTGATCATAGAGGGATTGAGCTCTCTTTGTTCTGATGAGCCATCTTCAGAAATTATGACATCTTCCTTTCTTTCATCTTCTGAAATACATAACAATGGCCTTACAATACTACATGGAGAAAAAAGCAATGTGTTAGGGAGCCAGCCTATTTTAGCCAAAGAAGGAAAAGACCACTTGGATCTTCTGGATATGAAAAAGATGGAAAAGCCTCAGGGGATCAGCAACAACATATCAGACTCTCCAGTTTCTCTTGCAGCAGGAGTTCATTGTGACCATCCTTCTATTCCAGCCAGTTTCCCAGAGCATCCTGCTTTGCTTTCAAAGAAAATTGGTCAAGTGGAAGAGCAAATAGATAAAGAGACCAAGAACCCAAATGAGGTATCAAGTAGGGAAGCGAAAACTGCATTGGATGCTGATGACAGATTCACCTTGCTAACAGCCCAGAAACCACCTACTGAATACTCTAAGGTAGAAGGCATTTATACATACTCTTTGTCCCCATCCAAAGTTTCAGGAGATGGTGTTATTGAAAAGGATTCCCCTGAATCACCATTTGAAGTAATTATTGACAAAGCAGCATTTGACAAAGAATTTAAAGACTCGTATAAGGAGAGCACAGATGATTTTGGTAGCTGGTCTATGCACACTGATAGAGAATCATCTGAAGACATTTCAGAGACTAATGACAAGCTTTTTCCACTGAGAAATAAAGAGGCAGGACGTTACCAAATGTCTGCATTGCTCAGTAGGCAGTTTTCACACACAAATGCAGCACTGGAAGAGGTGTCTAGATGCGTGAATGATATGCATAACTTTACTAACGAAATACTGACTTGGGATCTGGTTCCCCAAGTGAAACAACAGACTGATAAATCTTCTGACTGCATCACAAAAACTACAGGACTTGACATGAGTGAATATAATTCTGAAATTCCAGTTGTAAATCTTAAAGTTAACACTCATCAGAAAATTCCTGTATGTTCTATTAATGGGAGCACTCCCATCACTGAATCAACAGGTGATTGGACAGAAGCATCTCTCCTACAAGAAAATGCTATCACTGGAAAACCTATACCCGACTCTTTCAATTCCACAAAAGAATTCAGTATCAAAGGTGTGCAAGGCAATATGCAGAAACAGGGTGACACACTTGCAGAATTACCTGGATCTCCACCTGAGAAATGTGACTCTTTGGGTTCTGGAGTGGCCACAGTGAAAGTGGTTTTACCTGATGACCACCTGAAAGATGAAATGAACTGGCAGAGCTCTGCATTGGGAGAAATCACAGAAGCTGATAGTTCTGGTGAGTCTGATGACACAGTAATAGAGGACATCACAGCAGATCTATCATTTGAAAATAAGAAAATTCAAGCTGAAAAACCTGTTTCCATTCCAAGTGCTGTTGTAAAAACAGGTGAAAGAGAAATCAAAGAGATTCCCAGTTGTAAGAGAGTAGAAAAAACATCTAAAAACTTTCAAGAGTTGGTCAGTGACTCTGAGCTGCATCAAGAGCCACCTGATATTCTTGGAAGGAGTCCAGCTAGTGAGGCAGCAAAAGTACCCAATATAAATGTCTGCTTAGAAGATGTAAGTGAAGTTGCTCCTGAAAAGCCTGTTACTACTGAGAACCCCAAACTTCCTTCAACAGTGTCTCCAAATGTTTTTAATGAGACAGAATTCTCATTAAATGTGACAACATCTGCCTACTTGGAGTCATTACATGGGAAAAATGTTAAACATATAGATGATTCCTCCCCAGAGGACCTGATAGCAGCCTTTACAGAAACCAGAGATAAAGGAATAGTAGATAGTGAAGGAAATGCCTTTCA